GTAAAGTGTGCATCATGAAAACATCCCAACCCAATGCTGCCCAAGCCCACAAGTCCAACATTAACCCATTAACCCAACACCAGTCCACAAAGTCCTCCACCTCACAAAACAGAGGTAATGATGCCGACTGCAGGAGGAAAGCTGAGTCAGTGAACGAATAAGCATCTCAACACTAGCAGGGGTCTCCACACGGCTGCTCTAGCACCCAGGGCTGCATCGGGATAGGTCCATGTGGCTTCTCCTTGGGGATGTCTTGTAGGAAGTCAATCTTGCAAGCTGAAGCAGGGAACTGCTAATGCAGCTGCACCCTGGTGCGACCATCACAAAGCAAGAGACCCGAGAACTAGAAAGGCGAGGCTTCACCACCCATTTATCCCTCCGCCTTTCAACCAGCCCCACATGTGATTATCGGCCAGGCTGGCACAATTAACTAACTCAAGCCACCCCTTGCCAACCTGGCACCTGTATGTAATTCTTAACTTCACAATTGCAATTAAGTAACACCTATACCTTATCCCTATAATCTTGTGATTTTCCCCCCCTACCTATGAAAGTTTGTAAGCCAACCACTTCATGCCTTTATCTCCCCCAATTTTGGGTATCCAGTTTATATACTGCCCACTTACATCAACCCACTTCTCAGAGAAGGCAATCCTATTTTTCAACACGAAGAGTCTTCATGCCAGTTGGAACCTTGTGAAGTCTGCATCCATAAGCAAAGTCAAATCCAGACAGGCCATCCATAAAGTCAGCAACAATATGCACCAGTTCACAGGCTCAGAAATCTCCAGCTGGCCGGGTTCTGGTCAACTCAATGTGGGCTGCCTCACTCAGCCTCCACAGGGTGCCCAGTGGTCACCTTTCCTTAGGCCATGGGCTCTCACCAACTCAAGCCTAGCCCCCTCAGGCTAGGTCATGAACCTTACACCAGTTAACCTGCTCTCGTCTTCTCCCTTTTTCCCTGTAAACCAAGTCCACAGGTGTCAGCGGCCAAACTCAACCCCTTTCTTTATTGCTGCATTTCTCCCACTTCCACTCAACAAGTAGATCCAGGTGGTCACCTACCAAGCATTTCAGCCTGCTCACAGGCTCCCTTTCACAAATAACATGTTAGTTTTGAGAACTCAAGCCATGATATTTCCAATTGCCTCATAGGTGTTCGACAGCTGATCATCGATAAGGAAGAACAAAGGAGAATTGATGCCTTTGGATTTAGATATTGTTGAAGAATAATAGTTACTGTAACATAGACCGCCAGAAGAACAGACTCATCTTTCCTGGAAGAAGTACAGCCAGAATTCTTTTTAGAAATGAGAATGATGAGACTTTATCTAACATACTTTGAATATTTTGTCAGGAGGGACCAGTCCCTGGAGAAAGATGTCATGCTTGGTTAGAGGGTTGACGAGGAGGACAGGTGGACACTGGCGGCAGCGGTGAGCATTTCGAGGAGGCGCAGTTTTCTGTCCTGTGGCAGAGACGGACTCTGTGGGCCCGCAGCAGCAGCATGACTGGTGGTCAGCGTGGAGCGTGTGCTCCCAGGTGTTGGTTGACAGCGTATCTCTTAATGTCTTTGGAAAAAATGGCTGTCCAAGTCTTTTGCCCATTTTTAAATTGAAGTTTATTTGATGTTTTCTTGTTGCCTTTTAAGAGGTCTTTATACTTTCTCGATATTAAATCTTTGTTAAATATATGGTTCACAAATATTCTGTAGTTTGTCTTTTCACCTCCTTGATGACACCTCTTGATATGTAAAAACTTTTAATCTTGATGAACTCCAGATTATTTCTGGGTGTTTTTTTCTCCTCAGTGATTGTATGTCCTTTTGGTATCAATATCTCTAACCCCCTTGCCAAATCTAAGACTTACCTAGCCTTAACGCCTGCATTTGGGGTGTTAATCCATTTTGAGTCAATTTTTTTTAGCATGGTATGAGGTAGGGATCCAACTTCATTGTTCTGAATGTAGACCTCTATCACCTTGTGGAAACTGTACCATCACCTTCTATTGAAGAAACCAGTCACGACCTTTGGACTGGACTTAGCATTGTTGAAAATCATTGGGCCTCAAATGTTTGGGCTTACAAGTGTTTATGAGCTCTCAGTTTTAGTCCATCGGTTTATGTGTCTGTGGGCCAATTTTATACTGTTGAACCCAAGAAAGCCAGAACCTGTATGAGATGGAAATCTGCCAGAGAAGGCAAAGTTCCATCTTTCCCACTCACATGAGCAGGGGGAGAGTGATGAGCTGGGAGCCTGTGAGACGCGGAATGAGAAGGCCTCCCTGAGGGCAGCCTCTCAGGCTTCCTTGCCCACGGTATGTTTGCGGTCGGGAGCTTTGTGCCCTGTGACTTTTTCAAAGTAGTTTTGACAGTGTGGGGTCCCTTGTATTTCCACATTGAGTATAAGGATCACATTTTCCAAACGGCTGTTGGAATTTTGATAGACATTGTGGTGGAATTTGAAAATTAGTTTGTATAGTACTGACATCTTAATCCTTACTAAGTCTTCCAGTCCTGAGCATGAGGTACTGTCTCATGTACTTATTTAACAGAGATTCTCACTGCGTTTGAGTGTGTAAGCCTTTGTCTCCTTGATTGAGTTTATTCCTAGATACTGTCTTGCTCTAGATGCTATTATATATTAATCATTTCCTAATTTCCTCGTTGACCATTTATTGCTGGTGGGTAGAGATACAGCTGACTTTTATAAGTGATGTCTGTGAGTGTTTTTTGCTGAATTGATTATTGCCCTCATTTTCTTGTGGATTCTTTGAGATGCCTACTTATAGCAGCGGTTCTCAACCTGTGGGTCACGACCCCTGTGGGGTTTGAACGACCCTTTCACAGGGATCACCCGATTCATAACAGAAGCAAAATTAGTTTTGAAGTAGCAATGAAAATCATTTATGGTTGGGGGTGACCACACATAAGGAACTGTATTAAAGGGTCGCGGCATGAGGAAGGTTGAGAACTGCTGACTTCGAGGATCATGTAGCTTGTGACTAGGAGTAGCTCTCTCTTTCTGATTTCAGTGCTTTTACTTCTTTCCCTTTCCTAGTTACTCTGGCTGGAACTTCCGGGCTCGGTGGTGGGGCTGAGGGGCAGCCTTGTCTTACTCCTTATTTCAGGAGAAACTTCTTAAAAACTTTCATTCTGCCTCCCTGGCGTATGATGGGAGCAGTGTGGCGGAAGGCCCTTTACTATACTGAGGACTTACCATTCAGGTCCTAGTTCTCTGAGCGTTGCAGCTTTTATTGGTAATTCCAATAATTAGGTTAAAGGTGACTTACCAGACACTTTGTAACAGGCACATAGCAGCCGGGGCGTCTGCCCGCACGCACCCTTAGTGGTGCACTGGCACGCAGAGCGAGGAGTGGAAGGCGAGGACAGTGCTCCCTTAGAAAGGTGGGAGCGGAGATGCGATTGGGATCAGGGGCTTCTGGGCTCTTGTTTTTTTTTCCACCAGGACATTGGCCTGCTAATAATTCACAAAGTTATACGTGTGTGAGTTTATGCAATATTTATTTTAGCAATGAAACTTCATAAAAAGTTCATAAGGTACTTGAATTATCTATGAGATTAAACTGTTCAGTTTAATTGTGTTATATGCTTCAGTTTTTGCCTTAGGGATTGATTTCTTAAAGGTTTATGATTTGGATTTTTATTATGTAAAGCATGTCAGTGGTTTCAAGGTAATATGAAATACATCGTCAGGAATATATTCTGTCCCTTTCCCTTCCTCCCTCACACACACACCAACACTGTATACCTATGTACTCTCACACATCCATACACTCGTGCACACTCATGTTCTCACACTCACATTTACTTCACTCGTACACACACGATCTCACTCACACTCAGTCGTATTCGTGTACAGTCAATTTATGCACTCATTCACACAATGCCCTCACAAACACATTCACAATCACAGTTCACATCTGCACATACACATTCAACCAGTTCACTCGTTCACACTCACACACAGTTCACACCTGTACACATACTCTTGCACACACTCAATTCACCACGCAGCCTTCTCACACCTCCACCTCCCTCTACTCTTGGGGAAGTGCAGCCTGGGGAAGCTTTGCTGCCTCCACACCATCCATCTCCATCCTTTGCTCTGTGTGCTGCATTTCACCCCGTCTCGTGCGCTGCCCCTGCCAGGAACCCCACGGAGGCCAGCCTGTGTCTCTGGGAGAGGCTGCCCTGTAGGAAGGTGATAGTACCCCCAGGGGCTTAGCAGGGTAGGCACCCTTTTGTATGAACCCCGCTTCATTGCGGTAAGTCTGATACTTCACAGTGTCAGGTTACCCTCTGAAGAGTTTTATGTGGACAGCCATTATTTTGTCATTATAAAAATGTGGATAAAAGTTAGAAATGATCAGTGCAGTCTTTCTAAAGTGCTCATTTAGATGGAACGTAGGTAGGGAAACAAACCAGGTTGGAAATGCACCTGTCTGTTCGAGGTCATTGCCGCTGCTCGGGGAGCTGCCTCTCGGAGAGTGCTTGCTGACAGTGGCTCTGGAATCAGGTGCATGCCTCTGTGGTATTTTTACAAACGTGAGGCTAGGGGCAGGCTGGTTGGCCCGTGTCTAGCAGCAGGGGCTCCCTCCATGACTTGGGCTCCCATCTTGGACGTTCTCACGATGTGTCAGACTTCTTAATCATACTTAGTAGACTGCAGCCGAGTACAGGCATGACCTTCCTGTGCACTGGGAACTGGCCTTGGTGTGTGGCTTCATTGGGGTGGCACTGCAGTGTGGAAAGATGGGGCCCTAGGCCTGTGTTCTACCTCCTCCAACTTAGGACCAGTCTTGTGTCAGTTTTCGTAAAGAACTTTGTGACTTCAGGTGGTCTAGATTTGAACCCACAAAACCTCCAAGGTCAGCCTGGCTGTCACTCTGCCACAGCGTGTCAGTGTCAAAGTACCCGTGGCTCCAAAGTGACCTGTAGCCCTTGAAAAGAGGTGATTGTTTTCTCCTTCATTCCCAAGGGTCCTGCTTCATTCGAACGGATCAGCTGGATGGGGAGACAGACTGGAAACTGAAAGTGGCGGTGAGCTGCACACAGAGGCTGCCTGCTCTCGGGGTGAGCACCCACGTCCTCCCTTCTCACAGTGCGTGCCTGTGTGTGTGTGTGTGTGTGTGTTCGCTCAGGCAGCTGACAGGCACTCCCGGGGACCGGAAGGAGGACTTCTCCTACCATGTCCTCAGACTCAGAGGAGATGCCAGCGGAATTTCCACATTGTCTTCTCCTGGAACCCCTCACTGGTGTAGGTTTGAAAGTCCGTATTAGCTTGACATGTACTTTTCTTCAGTTGTTTCCTTTTTGGGTTTTAGCATTTTGACTTAGGACATTTGGTGAGTGTTAGGTGAGTCCACCCTCCTACCTGACTCTGGCCCAATAGGCTGAGTGAAATACTGGTAAGTGAGGCCACAGGCCTCTGAGCCTGTGGTGCAGACTCTGCCTGGGGTCCAAGCGTGCCTGCCACAGCTCTCCCTGTGGGAGGGGACCAGGGACACATCTCTCCCTACGTCACGTCGCCCTGGGGGAGATGGAAAGTGGCCTAGGGTAAAGAGGATGGGTTTATCTGTGACTGAGGATCTCAGACCAAAGGAGGATGGAGACACACGTTGGACCTCTTCCTTCTTTCTCCCCGAATGCCCCTTTACCCCTGGGAGTAGGTGAGGGGTGGGACTGGGGGGACAACATGTGGCAGTGGTCACTTGTTGGGCTGCAGACCACAAAGTCGGCAGTTCAAAACCACCAGCTGCTCCTCAGGAGAAAGATGTGGCCTTTGACTCAAGGGAAGAGTTACAGCCTTGGAAACTCATAGGAGCCCGGAGTGTACCTGCCCCCAACGAGTGTGCCCAGGCAGCACTGACTGGATGCCCGTGCCAACCGCCCAGCCGGGAGCAGTGGGCGTCAGTCTGTGCTCCTGACGTCTTGTAAAGAGTCTGTCCACTCTGTGTAGGTTACCAGAGGGCATAGGATCAATAGAGTCCATCGATCTTTTGTAGGAGTTGTAGGATCTGCTGTTTGTCTTCAGAATAGGGAGTTTACCCCCACCCCCACCCCCATTTTCTCGCTTCCTGGAGTTTACTTTACCGACTGCCCTTTGTCTCCTTCATCCAGGCTAGTTAGTTTTTATTTCTTTTCCTTTGTGAGCTTCTTAAGGTGGAAGTTCGACTCTTGATTTTTGACCTTCTCTTGTAAAGGAGCCTGGTGGCATGTAAGCCTTAACCTGTGAACAACAAGGCCGCTGTTCAAGCCCACTGGCCACTCAGTGGGGAAGAAGAAGCCATGGCTTCTGCAACCCCTTTTGGGGTCAATGTGAGTCAGCACCAGCGCACCACAGCCAGAGAGCTGCTGTCGGGAGCATCCTGAGCTGCATTTACCTGTGTTGCCCAACATACATCCTGGTCATCACCGTGCTTCCTGGGGGCGCTTGTGGCTTCTTCCTTGTCCCTCTGTGATTTAGAATGGCAAGTCCATTTTGTTAGGGGCACAGGATACCAGTGCTGCTTCTGTTTTTCCAGGGTGCCTGGGCAGGCCCCTGCACTAGACTTTCCTGTGGGTGTGTGCCAACAGATTCCAACTAGGGAATCCTGTGTGCCAGAGAACTGCCCCTGCAGGTCCCTAGCTGGCCTGCTCTGGGAGCAGATAGCCAGGACCTCAGGGGCAGGGATGGTGGTCTGGAGGCTGTGTTCAGTTTAAGGTTAGGTTTCTTTTTTGTGAAGTTGTAAAATTCTCATACCTAAGAAGGGATATTTTTTATGTTTTTAGCCTAATAGCTTCTGGGCATATTCTCTGCCCATTTTTCTGTTGTGCTTTTAAAGGGATCTCTTTAGTTTGAGAGCCCTACTCTAAGGACTGAGCGTGGGCTGTGGGGACGGGGCTGGGCTGCAAAGGGCGCCGGGAGTCGGGGCACACTTGTGGGTGATGGGAGGGTTACTGGCTGGATGCCAGTGACTTTCATGGTGTATGCAAATAGCACACAACTGTACACTTTATAATTCTCTCAGGAAAGTGTGACACACCTGCCGAGCTCCTGTCCATACCTGGGAGCACAATTCTTGATGCAGGGTCACAGGAAGTAGTGTTGGCCATAGTTTAGGTTTACAATCAGTGACCCCTCTGTACCTACTGCCCCCAGGGCATCCGTGCTGATACATAGCCACCCTGGAGGAGAGTGCTCTGCCCTGGGCTTTTGGAAGATGCCTGCCTTGCTCTCGCCAGTGGACCAGCAGGTGCATTCCAACCATCCCCTTTCAGGTTAGCAGCCCAGCACTCAATCCTTTGCACCACCATATGGGTACATTTAAAATCAGTATTCTACACACCGTCTTCACTTACAGTCCTGTAGCACTGCCTCTGCATTGCAGTCTTAGCTGGTACACTTAGACGAGAAGATGAGAGCAGGCCTGAGACCGCCCTGAATGGGCTTCTGATAGCACTGTACTCCCCAAAGGCAGTCTCAAACCCAAACCCAACTGACAGCCCCAGAGCCAGTCCCCACCCCTAGCGACCCTACCAGGACGGAGTCAGAAACTCGCTTGCCTCCGCTCTCGCCCACCCTTGAGGATGGCTGCTGGAGCGAGCAGTCCGGCCCCTCGCCTCTGTGCCGCGGGCTCTTCCAGGAGCCCTTGGTGCTGCTTCTGTGGCTCGGCTCGGTTTGGTCTCGGTGCCCGTGAGATGGGGCTTGTCAGGGTCCTTATCAGAGTTGGAATGGGCCCTGGTTTCATTTGGATACCACCTGCCCACTCCCCCGAAACAAAAAACCACCCCTTGTCTTGATTGATCCCAGCTCCTGGGCAAGGCAGTTTGGGTGCTCCTTTTCTGCTGTGCTGCCTTCCACTGCCCCGTAGTGTGCCCGGTGTCTCTGGAATGGGAAGGATTCAGAGATGGTGCTGACCGTGGGCACACCTGTGGCCTGTGTCCCTGTGATACCCAGGTAGTAACCCTGTGTAGCTAAGGACCAGGGTGGGGTGGGAGTGTGCTGCCCTCCTGAGCATCTCAGGGGTTGTGTTGTGAGGGTCATCCTACCAGCATCTCGAGGGGCTGGCACTCCCAGCACCACAGACAGGAGATGGGCTTCCGGCTTTGTGATCAAGCAGATTTATTAACACCAATGAGGTCACCGCAATTTTCAGTAAATCATGACTGGCTGATTTATTTCAGAAGATCCATAGAGCAGTAAACAATACCATTTACATTTAATTAGTTTTATTGAACAAAAGGCAATTTTATTTGTAATGAACCACATGTTATGATTAAGGATGTATTTTAATGACCTTTAAGTAATGCAAACAAATGTTGCCCTTGACCCAATCGCAGAGGCTCTCTTACATTATTGAAAACTTCAGAATGATTTTTAAATTATCGTGAAGCGCTCTGAATGACATTCTCATTATGGTGCCGTTACTCAGTCATCGAATGTCTCCGTGAGCAGTGGGACGCATCGGCCTGCGTGTCCGTGCGTGGGCGTGTCCGGAGGCTGGTGTCGGCCCCTCCTGGCTCTGTGGCGCATACAGATCTGCTTGCTTTAGGGCCTTGTCCCTGGGTCATCTGGCTGCTTCTCCAGCACGTTTCTTAGTGGTGTTCTCTTACGTCTGGATTGACTGCAGGGAGCCTTCCGGTGCAAACTAGCTGGACTTTGTTCCGTGGAAACCGATCTTATTCCCTGGTGTGCTGCTGGAGCACGGGCCCGCTGTGGACACTTGGCTGGCCCCGCCTCCCTCCTGCGTGGTGTCTCTGCCCTCACACGTGTTCTCCAGGCTCCTCTGCAGAGAGCTGGTTCACTTCTTAGCCCTGGGGTGGGTTTCTGATGCCAGAGAAGCTGTGTGGAGAAGGGAGAGCCTCCTGCCAGTCACTGAATTTCTGAGTTACCATCCTGGGTCTCCTCAGCCTGCCCGTCCTACTGCCTGACGTCAGTACGTGGACTCGGTGGTTAAGTCTTCAGAACACGTGGCTCAGTGTGCTGTGCTCCTGGCTGTCTTACCGCTGCCCCTTGTAGCTTCGTGTCTCTGTGAGCATGGTAGAGCCCCGGGACCGACTATGGAGTAATGTTTAGGCGCTCAGTCACGAGACCCACCTGACCCATGATTTGGAAGCATCTCACAGGTAGTCTGGCTTCTTAGCCAGCATCTATGGTGTCTCGTGGTGTTGGACCCACTGCACTTGGTGGGGTGTCCCCAGGAGCAGAGCTCTGACACAGCTCACACTACGCTTGGTCCCATTATGGCACCCCCTCCCACTCCAGGAGTTTCGTGGCCCGAGGCAGAGGGAAGAGCTGGAGAATAGGACTGACTGGACAGTGCAGGCCCGGATGTTACCTGCCAGCACTGGACAAGCCAGGCTGAAGGGCCACGTGCTTGTGTCAGCCAGGCTCTACTTCTGCAACCTAGAGTGAACAGGGGTCTGTCTCCCCTTCTGGCTTGAATTACTTTTGCCCTATTGATTTTGTTTTCAGTTGTACTGTTGTGACACAAACCTGTACTCTTACTAGGAATGTTTCCTCTGGACTCCGTCATGCTTTCTGCAGCCTCCTGCAGGTGGTGCCCTGTGAGCAAGTCCCTGGGAGATGGACCGTGGCACCCGCCTCCTCAGAGCAGAGAACCCGGACAGTGACCCCGTTCTTCTCAGGGCACAGGGAACCAGGATAGGGGACCTGTTCTTGGAGCACAGAGAACGTGGTTGGAGACCCTGTTCTTCTCAGAACTAGGACCGAGACTGGCTTCTCTGGGCATTTTGTGTCTGTAGGATCAAGAGAGATTGCTGTGTGTGGTAGTTCTGTTGCCAACTTGAGACTATCAAGAGTGAAGGGGTGGCGTTTAGCCTGTCAATCAGGTTGCGACTTGATGACCTCATTTGGAGGCACTAAGGAGATAAATAGCTTACTGGAGGCAGGACACAGGCACACTCCCTGGGAGACATTCTTGTTGACAAGATACATGGAGCTACACTAGAGCCCTGGAGCTGAGGGAGCCATGTGGTGACCCCCGTCAGCACTGAGATGCTTCCACCACCACTGGATCCACAGGACTTTCCACCCACTGGCCTGTGATCTTCCTACATTTGGCGTGTCATTGCATGTGTTGTATGAGTCTGAAGAGGAATTTATAGATTGGTATTAGACATATGGGCTAATATCAGACTTATGGACTTGATTTGGACTGGGCTGAGATGTTTTCTTAATGTACAATTGCTCTTTGATATAAAGTTCTCTCCTACACACATATTAGTGTCTATAAATTTGCTTCTCTAGTCAACCCAGACTCACACACTGTACATCTGGGGCTTTAAAATGTTTTCCTTTGTTGCATGTCACCCTAATTTGTAGTGTCGGTGCATGAAAGGTAACAATGTCTGTGATCACATTTGGCAAACAGTACCTGTAGAACATTCGCTGGTAATGGAAGAGTCTCCCCACGCCGGGGCCTAGTGACAAAGTCAAAGTAACTCTGGGTTCTGTGTTTCAGGACCTGTTTTCAATCCGTGCGTATGTTCATGCCCAGAAGCCACAGCTGGACATTCATGCTTTTGAAGGGACGTTCACCAGGGTAAGCAGCATGTCTTGTTCAGTGACGTGTATTTGCGTGTGTGTGCACTACATGTAGCAAGCCTGTGCTTTTAGTGCTAGCTATGTAAACTAAAACACAAAACCTTTAAAGTAGAACACTTTGAGAACATTTCACGATTTTGAATTTTCTTGTTTTAAATATGTTTAGCAAACACCTATTCTAATTTCAGCATATTTTTCCATTGCTAAGCTCCCTCCTAAAATATAACGAGTCAATAAGGAGCACAGATGAAGGACAGTCAGAGACTGGAGAGGGCCCTTGCACATAGAACCAAAGCAATGAACTAGTCAAAGAAGGGGAGGGAGGGTCAGAAAGATGAGCAGCAAAAAGCCAACACTCTTAAAATTGGAGGCTCTGAAACAAAACTGAAACTTTAAACCACTGAGCTAGTGTGAATGGATGTTAAAACGCAAACATATCTTAACCTGCATATTGAAAGTGCCCACTGTGTACCTGAGGAAAGGCCAAGAGGTACGGCTGCGGTTAGTTTACAGATAAATTGACCCTGTGGTGCTCAGCGCTGCCCATTTGGTGGAGGCTCTTGGATCCTGGCCCTCTTTACACAGTGAGGACACGGAAACTTTGTTCAGAAGAGAGGAAAGAGAAAACCAGTAAGATCCCGAGTTTATAATGAGCAGATGGAATTCAGTTTCATTCTGGAATGCTAGCTGCTCGAGGCGGTATTTCTATTTTCTTCATGAGAAGGAGAGCCCTTTTCGCCTGCAGCAGCTTACCCAGAGACATGGGGTTAGCGAGATTCACCGAGAAGACTGGTCAGAGGGCTGTGCCCCCATCCCCCCCACCCCCCCGACATTAGGCACATTTTGAGTGACAGCTGCTGCTTGCCTCTGAACAGCGCAGGGCGACCTACACGGCCTGCTTTTCAGTGCTTTCTGCTGTGCAGATGACCTGCTATTGTTACTGCTCTATTAGTTTCACTTCCTGTTCAAGACATAACTCTTCTCTGCATTTTGAAGTTTGAGGCTCCAGCCAGTGTTGAAATATGAGCAGTATTCGAGGTCCTTCAGCATCATATCCCCTTTATCTTTTCCGTGATGCACTTTCTGCTGTAATTTCTCTTGCAGACAAACTAGCACACTCATTGTTCATGTCTGTACCAATCACAATACTCTCCTTTCCAGAGCAGGTCTCTATTGTGTGTTAAATCAGGCACATTGCTGAGAAAACAGCCTGAAATGTAACATTTTGCATTCTTTCCAGAAAGCAAATGCTATCTCTTTACGCACTTAACATTAAGCAGAAGAAAACCCATCATGAGAGTTCCTTAGAGGTAATTTCTTTCCCGTCTTCCCAACCCTTACTTTGTGCTATCAGGAACTGGCACAGAACCATCTTTCACAATAATTTTCTTGATATTAGAAAAGTGTTCGGTGTTTCAAGTCCGTCAGTCATTCGGTGCGGAAACTACATTGACGTCTGTTCTTCGAGTCTAATGGTGTTGGAGGCAGACACAAACAGTTGCATGATTAAGTATTTGTAGAAAGGTAATGAGAAAAACAGCTTAGGTTTCTAAAACCTAATTGTAGAACCCTTTATTCGTGGCTCAGAGCCTGCTCACATGGTTTGTCTTCCCACCATTTTATGTACGGTGACGACGTTTGTCTTGGGGGGTGGGGCATTCCTGGAAGCCACATGGCTCCTTCTCAAGCCTGCCCATGGGTGGAGCTCTACTCACCTGTTCACTTGCGCTGAGGTGGCAGGGTCTCAAAGCTCCCCCAGTTCTGGGGCATCTGGGTCAATGCCTGATTTCTTGTCCATCATCAAAGCTGCGATACCCATCGGGTCTCTGGCACCTACCCACCTGCTGCAGCCCCCCTGGTGCCTGCCTGTGCCATGCCACATGAGGCTGCAGGCACAGCTCACCTGTGCTGACCGGCATGAAATGGTTGGGAATCACCTTAACAGGGTGATCTCATTACGCCACAGCTGACGTGTATGAGTGTGTGCACAAACCGGGACCTAAGACTCGGCCTCACCGGGAGTCAGTCCTCTCACCCAGCTGCAGAGGCCTAGCCCGCTGCCATCAGGTGTACGTGGGAACCAAGAGGTTATGCAGTGCGATGTCCACTTAGACCCACTACCGAAGCTGTGACTCTTCATCCTGACAGAGCAGAAATACTTATTATATTGAGCCTTTTCCTCATATTCCTCATGTTCTTATCTTCCCTGGAAACATGAACCTGATGCAGCTGTGAGACTGCCCATAAACAGGTTTTGTTGAACTAGACCTTCTATCTGGAACATGACATGTAACACAGTTTACACAGTGACATGTAACTGAGATGGGCAACTCCTGAGGAGCTGCAGTTGAGTGTGTGTGTGTGTGTGTGTGTGTGTGTGTGTGTGTGTG